TTCGTCAGGGTTTCCCTCGCTCTGTTTCTATATAACTTTGTTATAAATTTGACTATGGAAACAGCCCTATCCTCGAGCGAGGATAGCGGTATCGATTTACTCCCAGGAGGCAGACTGCCTGATGTAGTGTACGCAGACGACATTGTGCTGCTAAGTGAAGATCCAGGTAAGTTGCAAGCATTTCTGGATAACTTGAATGCCAGCGTAGCCATATTCGGTATGCGTTTTGCACCTTCAAAGTGCAAAATGTTAAAAGACTGGGTTAGTCTAGTTCCGAGTCCTACTCTAACTGGGGAAGTTATTGAGCAAGTGGGCAAATCATGGAGCGTTTTTATTTTTATAAAGATTATAGTAATGTGATTTGTTTGGCACACAGTCTAGCCTAAGACGTGTGTGAAATATATAAATAGAGCAAGTGGGCAAGTTTTATTATTTGGGCAGCTACATCTCACCCGTTGGGATCATCTCGGATGCGATATCGGTAGCATACCGAAGGTTTGATCGGCATTAGCGAACATGAGTCATCTGCGGCGCCGTCGCGACACCGACTGTCTGCGAAGAGCAGTTCGGTCAGTTCTGATTTACGGCGCAGAAACTTGGCCATTACGAAAACAGAATAAAGATAGACTGTCGGTGTTCGAACAATTCTATCTACGCAGCATCACTCCAGTCTGGTGGGCTAATCGGACGAGCGAGGCTGAGGTTAGGCGCACAGTTTTAGGTAACTGTGGTCGCCCACTGGAGCAAGTGGTTAACCTCCATAGATTACGCTGGTTATGATATGTGTGACGCATGTCACCAAATAGGTTGCCATGGAACGCGATGTTTGCCGACCCAGGCTAGAGGTGGAAAAAAGCTAAAGGTGGCCAAACTAAGACCTGACATGAGGGTTTGAAAAACCTGACCAGGAGACTTCGTGACATAGGTCACGTTAGGCTCCCTGGATGGGGACACCGGGACCATCCTGGCTGGTGGTTAGAGATATGGCAGAGTGTCGTAAGTAGTGGCGCTCTCGCGTTTACGGATTATCCTTGCAACCTTGGTTCATGTGAATTCTCTATCCTCTCCTCGACTGTGCTCGCAGCATCTCATTTCTCTTTCCACTCCTTGATCCGCATAGGCAGCCATGAGAAAGCAACCGAATCCCGGGACAGTAAAGTGCGTGGTTAACGGTTGTAAAAGTCGAAACTGAAACTCATTTGTAAGCTCGACAGAAATCTTCTGAAGGCAACTTTGACCCTCGGAAAATCGACGAAAAATTAAGTAATGAAAGCTGGAATAATCAGAAATGGTACATTAATCGCGAGAAAATAAAAATGTGTACAATGGAAAAACAAAGGATTCTTTGGGGCTAGTACGGGTCGGAGATGTAATAATGAAGATTTTAAACAGGTTCAATGACGCAAATGGCACTACGATTAATAACCTTCAGCATAATCATACAAGGTACCACTGTATATTGTAATGTATGTATACAATGATAACGAAATCATATATAATGTTAGGATTTCGTATGTAAATAACTAGCTGATGTACATGGTGCGCGCATTCCGCAATCGATCTAGGGTATTCTACCGTAGCGTCCGACCCCATTTAGTCGCCGTGGCTTTGTTGTACGATTGCGAAGGAAGTGGGCAACATAGACAACGGGATGATCAGTTGCGGAAATTGAGCTGCTTTTTGTGTTTGAATGAAGAAACGAATACGGTTATAAGTCACAATATGATCAGATTCATTTTTAAGCACCTATCAACGAAAATTCAAGAGAAAAATTCAAGACGACACGAAACAAAAACAACTGGGTCTAAATAGAGCAAGTGTTTTATAACTTTATAGAAAGAAGCCTACTTTAAGAGTCACATACTTTTAGCATTGCAAAACAGATTGATTCTCCCGGTGAAATGTGGTTTTATAGGCTATTTTAAATGTTTCGGAACAGCGGAAAACAAAGAGGTATACGAGTAGGCAGTCAATGTAGAGTATTCCTTCACAAACGTACATTTAACAGTTAAAAATAGTCAAAGATTAAAACTAGACCCAATTCCACTTTTTAAGTGACTACAACAACTCGAAGTGTACTTTTAGCAAGACAATTTGGGTGGCACTTCTGAGACGAATCGCTTTGTTCTGTCATAGCAGTGATTGTAAACGTTAGAAACCTCAACTGCACCTGAATGAAACATCAGGAAAAATGAATCAGATATGAGATTATTTAACAGGATGTGTTCGCAACATTTGCATAATTGCTTGTATAAACGCGCCTTATTTCCACGAACAACTAGAGTTCCTTGGCGTTCCTCAGTCATAATTACGTTCTACATGCATGTAAGGTTTGTTACTTAAACTGTATTGATACTCTTGATTAAATCATTGGTGTAGCACAAAAAATCTAAAGGACTTAAATAGACAAACGTTCCTCCTTCTTTAAACATTTCAGGTTTTACTTGTCCTGCTCTGGTCCTCAATACGTCTCTAGTTGAGTCTTTTGCACTCTGTGATTGCACTGTTGAAGTATGGCTGTTTTGTTCTGTATTTCATCAACAATTTTGCCGTTAGTAGACCTATACATATGTACTGAATATACAATTTCTTTGTTTTCTTTTGGGCTATACTTTGATCACTATTTCATTTTGACAATCGATCGTTCGGAAACCCATTGATCATTGGCGAACTGTTGGGGGTACGTTGCAATTCTGGACACAGCGAATGCCGTTCCAATAATTCAGTTTCTCGTAACAAAACCCTCACGAACGCTTGCTGATTCTGACCAAATTGACCAAAGGAATGAATCATTGTTGACATGAACAATCTATTCGAATAATAATCTTTTTGAAATTATTCAAAACAAGTCGATAGAACACTGATTATCCACACAAAACTGTGGTAACAGAGAAGAAAGTTTTTGAATATTTTCCCGTAGTGATCATTGCAAGTTAAAACTTAGGAGCATACTGCTAAAAAACCCCAATGCAAGCGGACAAGCTCTGATTCTTTGGGCGATAATGTCTATAAACAGTACATTGGACAAATAAATATGAAAATCCGGTGAAATCTGAATGGCTAGTTGATCGATATTTAATGGTTCGTTCATACTGTTCAAAGCTCCAGTCTCCGAGTTGATTTTGTAGATGCAGTGGCTAGTAACACAGATAAATTATTTACTTCGATTGAGATTGTAGTAGTACACAGTCAATAGATGTATTGTTACAATTTTAGCAGGAGCGTTTGGGCGCAACACATCACACATGGGTATATATCGTTTGCCTCACCAGTCTCAGTAACAAGTAATCAGACAATAATCTAAAGAAGAAACACCAAGGGCATGAAGCAAAATCGTGTAGGTAGTGTAGGGATTGATCGCCTTATTCCAGATGGTAAAAGCGCCAACTATGTAACCAAGCGATCGGGCACAGCCAGAAATAGGACTGCAAAACGACAGTTCATATTGTTTCATTTGTCAAGTCCGGTTGATGCACAGACTGTCCACACCATCGAATTAGGACATGCACTGTATCGAGAAAAGAGGTTTTTGATGATTTCCGAAAGTTATTTTATCGAATTTTCCTAGAATGAAAATCTGAAAGAAATCGATGACGATTTTTCGACAGCCCATCGCTCTTTGATAATTTGATTGTTTCTAACAATGGTACAACGCTGTACGGTCTGCCCGTCGAAATCCCGTACCTCGTAAAAACAACAAACAACACAAAAGATACTAAAAAGTGTACGGTGAAGCACACAAAAATTTTGTCATCTCAGTTATCTTCCATTTTTCCGTGTTTAACTGTTTCACGCTCTTTCCACCCTGTTCTGTACCCCAACCCACCTATCCCCTACTATTGTTATTGTTATTATTGTAGCGTTGTTTCCATGCTTGTCTAAAAGCCGGTGGTATATATATACATATATATATATATATATATAATGATACACCCAAGCATAACTTTGAGTGACAGGTTGAAATGGATGACGCCAACATTCTGATCAGTCTGTTTTTGCTTCTCTCCGCACCGGTCCCAACCAAGTGCGGCTAATACCATATTTCTATGACGAATCAGTCTGACCACGAACCAATTATTTTAACCTGGAAAACACCAAGAACGAATATACACCCGAAGCACAATTATTTCCAAAATTCACGTTTAGGAGGAATATGATCTACATGAGGAATTTTATCAGCGTTTACCTCAGGAATGAATGGCGGACTGAATTCTCCCTTATTAGTGGATGATCGAACTCAAGATACCGAATTATAACAACCTTCCTGTTTTTCTCTTATTGTTCACCGAAAGGGGCAACCAAAAGACAGAAACCTAAGGCGTGGCAAGGAAATGTATACTTTAAACTGAAATGAACTGAACAGCCCTATAGATGTAGGTACACGTTGAGAATGGAAACTGTCGGGTGCGGAAACAGCACTTAAGGCGTTATACTTGATCAGCACGATTCATCTGAGAATGTTGTTGCGGAATATATGCACATATATATGAAATACGTTTGCACAATACGAAGCTTCCTGGCTAAACATGTGATTTAGTACGTCAGAAAAGAAAATTAATCCAATTGCACCCACCTCATTCAAATCTGGTCTAGATTTTCTGGCGAGAATTTGGGTTGAAAAATTACGGTGCCAAACATTATTCCTGACAGTACCACTGTCATTCCAGAGGCAATGTAAGGAACGGTAAAATCTCCCGTCCAATCGTAAATCACGGCTGAAATTATCATGAGATAGATTAAAATGCAATGTTCACATTAATCACACATAAATTTTAAAAAAATAGCCAATTATTATGAGTCATTTGTGTTCTGTTCTCCATGACACCAAAATCAATAATAGACTATCAAAAATACTTTAAAATAGATCGTCTAAAAGGTGGCGTTATGCCTGTAAAACCATAGCAGTGTCACTAACCTAGCGTTCAGGTGCACATTGAAGAAGTTTGTTTTGCTTTCGCAGGAGAATAAATATATGAAATACACAAACAACTAAATGTGATTTACTCGCGTTTACAAAACGTACCAGCAAGTGGGGCTCCGAGCACACTGGACAAACCTCGACTGAGTGTAACTAAGCCAACCGCAGTGGTCAGTGCATCCACCCCGACCAAGTCACACAAAATAATTGTGCTCAGTGAAGCGAGTGGTCCTGTAAATTGATCGGATAACACATGGATATGGTATTAGGCGACATATCATACACATGGAACATACCACGGACCCCTAAACCCTGGAAACATTAAGCCATTGATGTGATTCGACGAGGCAAGTTTTCTATTCGGTACATAGCATTCATAAATGCAAGGAAAACAGAAATGCGTCCTCCGAGGCGTCCAGAACATAGGAAAGAAGTAAATTCAATTTGCATTTAAATTCGGTGGAAATGTTTGTGATAACTGTTAAAGAGAACTGGATAGCTGTTTCGAATCCTGACAGGGACTCAAAAATGTACACATTACTAACGAGTCCCAAACAGGACGAAACAGCTGTGCGGTGCTCTTGGACGGTTATCACAAATATTTCCACCGCATTTAAATGCATTCAAATAGTGCGGAATTAACGATCTTCAAAGGAGTGAAACCCATACCGAACATCATCATGAACAGTGTCTCGTGCCTGTGAAAAACCGAATGAGCTAATCCAAACATTGACCATCTAAATTCATCATGGTTTATAAGAAAGAGTTACACTTTTGATACGCAAAGGGTTAGGATACTAAACCACTCTGCAAGAAGAATTGTCTGTAGTTTGAAACCTTGTCAGTCACAGAATCATTTAGTCTGGTATTCGAGTTAACATTTGGTCCTGATCAGGGAAACACAGTATTGTAACATCTGTTCACAGGAAACCCGAGATATTTCCGAAATTAGTTCAGGAGTGAGCCTGAATAGTATTTGCTGCTGCGCATAATAAAACAGTCAAATTCAGTTCTAGTTTGCACAACCATTCGTCTTTTGGGCATGGACCTGATCCGTTGAAGAATCAGAAAGTAGGGTCAGGCAAACCACACTCCACCTTATCTGTGTGCAACCTTACTGTTCAGAACTCTAGCCGGTTGATTTTATTATCGTTTCAATGTGCACATGAAAAGATGTATCTAATTAGATTTCCATATCATATGGTGGGAAATCTCCACCAACATGTGATTTTCTGGTTTGAGTTCGATTTCATACAAACATTAACCTTGCACTTTGCTTTCCCGATTCTGGTTGCTGTCTTTTGGTCTCCCATCTCGGTGAATTAAATGTATTAAATGTCTTTTGACTTCCTTTTTCTATTTATTGAATATACAAATGTACAGTCAACTTTCAGGAAAGGATCTGCGGCCATACAAAGGCTGCCTTGGGGAAAATACAGATATATGGGGAAGACAGGCGGCGGTGGAGCTTTTTTTACCCGGGACATTCAGGTCACTAGTTGGTGACCTAACCACTTAAAATTCTGGGAGCAGCGAAGAAACAGATCCCGTGAGACCAAGCAGATGCACGAACGCCACTGTTTGCAAAACTCAGCTACATAAATAAGTTCGAAATCATTTATTTCAGATATCTCGAGGTCCCCAAACAGAAAACCCAACAAGACCTATGTTACCAAGTTCCCTGTTCGGGGCTTTCAGATCCTATCTATGTTTGATCACTCTTCACATTTTCCACCCATTAGCTGCCTCAGCAAACATCGAACGAGGTAGTTCATCTGGTGACATTTTAAACATCTATCTCAAACAATGTAATCTATGGTTGTCGAGCACTTGCTCCAATGAGCGATCNCTCGGTTGCCTATCGCTCGGCGTCTACCTCATTATTGCATGTCCGGTCGCCCCACTGGACTCTTGCAATCATATGTGTACAGTGGTATTTGAGCATTGATAATTTGTCTTTATCCGGTTCCCGTAACGACCTAGTCACTGCACTCTACGGTAGCATCGTTCGAACTTTTCCAGCAAACAACTGAATTTACGCAGACAGCCTGATGTTACTGCAGCAATCGAGGTCTCTCAAAGTGACCAATACAAACTCAGGCTTGTGTTTGTGTGGAAAATTCGTCCGAGATGTGCCTGCCATATGAGATATAGGTACCCAAATAGCAAAACATATATGCATTCTTCATTGCTCCCTTAGTTAGGGTGAGGTTACGAGTTGAAGCAACCTTGTTCTGAAGTAATATTTTACAATTGGAAAGTGAAAACGCATGTCTAACATGACTGCACTAACACTCAGGCCATCCAGTTCGCAACTTATCTAGATTTTCACTTGACCTTTCAGGCAAAGTTTTTTTGTCAGAATGTTGTTTCGCTGTTGTGTTGATTGTCGGACCGCTGTTCGTGACCTATCCTTAACCTCATGCACACAATGGGAACAGTAAAGCACCTTGTTGACTGGTGGGGACCCAGCTTTGGCGGGTGGCAGTCATCTAATGAAGTTCAAAGACTTCTTCCAACGTCATGAAGATGCCCCAATCAACCCGCCATTACGTTCACCTGGCGGGAATTTTGACCGAAAAACTGCTCCTTCCCATAATTGTTTGCTAGATCCACTTTCACAGGAAAAAAGTGGATGGGCAAAGGAAACTATGGGTTGCCCAATCAGCTGACCTTGCGACCCCTGTCTGTTCTCTACCAATTAAACTATGAAACGACTAAATTTACGGCTGTGAGACGTCATCCTGTATACCCCGCAAGATCATATAGGCAAGCAAGCCATCATACTGGTGCAGGGTACAGTCCCGTATTGATGCTACCTATGGAGTAAAGCTAGTTATGGAAACAAGTGAAAATTGGCAACGTACAATGTGCTTGTTGAAATAGGTTGTATCTTTAGTATGCGTTCAACAAGGTTATACGTTCAAAGAATAAAAAATTGTGTTGAGCAGTGCTCATTACAATGACTCACCGCTGAGTAAACCCATCAGGCCAAAGGCAGTTGCCTGAGACGAGAAGGTAACGAACAACGGCATCAATGCGATCAGCAAACCCAACAAGGATGAAGTGATTGTTTGTACTATGATTGGCCGGATGCCGAACAGTCCAATTATCCAAGCAAAAGACAGCCGACCCACGATGCTGACCAGACCTATCAGATGCATATATGTGAAATAGAGTGAAATGAACTGGCAAAAACGGGAAATCAAACAAATGATGTACTTTCAAGATTCCGGATTGCACCATTTATCATACGGTAGGATTTTAGTACCCGTAGATTCTGATCGCTGCTGCCTCAAAACTACTACTACTACTACTACTACTACATATATATATATATTGTTTACTGTGCCTTTTCACTTTATTCAGTTTTCACTACAGTTATTTTTTCTTAGAATCATTTATTCTTGTTATCCGCAAAACAATCTGTCGAAATGCACTTAGATTCGTTCTATGTACCGCAACACTGACAAAAAGCGGTTCAGAGCTTTGCATTACGACGCGTTTGACTTCCAAGATCACATAGATTAGACATTTTCCAAATTTTCTGTTCTCAAGCTCGAAATCCGGATGGCTTTTTGTACCGAATTGACGTCAGAGGTGGGGCAACGATCAGTGGCACGGTTTCTGGTAAACGGAAGAATATCGAAGTACCATGAGTCTTCACAATCTCTGAAAGTTTATCGAGGGACGTCGGCAGCCGAATGCAGATACCCAGCGGGCGTGGGTACCTCGAACAAAGGGGATTCTAATAGTGCTCGGTGGGCTGAACACGAAACCAAGGCCGATCGCAATACACGTCCAATTTGTGTGCCGGCAAGTTTGAGTACTGTACTTGATTGACGTTCAATGATAGATTGTGACGCATGGAAAACGAGTCCAGGCAAACAAACACGAGTTCGGTAATCTACGTGTACTAGGATACAGATAAGCCGGCAATATGTGCAGCATACCACAGTTTTGAGAGCAATACATCTCAGAACCCAGGCAACCTAAGACAAAATGGAACGGGTTACTGAGTCGGGTCACTCGTTAGATACCATCAGACCTAAGAATGAGGAACATCAAGGGAAACTAATTAAAGGGGATAAACCGACCAATCACAGCCACTCAATCACGGGGACGGCGTTGTTTGTTGGTTATACGGGATGAAACTCCGCAAAAGAAACGGGTAAAATAGAGTGAACAGGGTTAACTGATGTCGATAAAGCGGGAGTTCACAAACAGGCGGAGAAGTTGATATGGCACAATTTGATATAAACTCAATGTGGAACGAATAAAGTTCAGTTATATCAAACACTGGGACACAGGTCAAAAATGACGATTTGAAACAGATTATAGATCATTTCAACATGCCATCAAAATGCACCATGCTGTGAAGATCAAATTGTCCTCAAGGAGGTGGAGGGAGGATAAATAGGGTGGAAGTTATGCACAAATACTAATAGTTGTGTGGGTGAACAGTTTTCAACGTGACACATGGTGGGCATTAAGTGTGTCGAGATCAATTGGTATGCCGAGGAGTGGTTATACAAGGGCCTAAGAGCAATGATCAGGTTGTGGTCTAATGAATGCATTTACCACAATGCTGGGTGGGTGTCGAACCTTAGAGGAGGTCTTGGATTGACTGACGTAGTGAATTTCGTTTCAGTTTGTTGAAGCAATGCGGTTGGGGAGTGTAAAACACAGGCTTCAGTCGGTTCCATAAGAAAAAATCTAACGGGGTCAAATCTGGAGGTTTAGGTGGCCAGGGCACAAGTCCACCTCTGCCGATGCGTTTTGTGGAAATGTTTCGTCAAGCCAAATTCTCACAGGCAGCTGCACCATCCTGCCGAAGATAAACCCGTTATCTTTGCTCCGGATCCAATGATTGAATATACTGTGAGACCAACGCTGGAAGCAACTTTAACTAAGCTGTCCCAGTAACTGTGGCATCAAAGAAATATGGACTGGTGACTGTGTTGTGTATTTTGTATAAATTTTGAAAGTACCGGAGCTCAAATTTCAGTTAAAAGGTCATACACGCTAACCGTCGCAATGTACATAATCAANATGTACATAATCAACGAGGAGAAAAGTTTTTACAAACTTGGGAACATTTCATAATCCAAGGTTAGAAAAAAGCTCACTTATTGTCCGCTCTTTGTTTATGAGTAGACGAGTAAGATACGGGATAGGTGAATTGCGGTAAGCGTTAATTCGAGATGAAATTTGTCGGAATTGGGAGCGTGCTGAATGATGAGAACGACGTGTCAGTTCTGCGTGCAATGGGTGGTCAGGATCTATGAGGATCTTCTCTGAAAATTTCACACAGGAAGTTACGTAATACTCTGAAGGCTTTATAGCTAACTCATTCACAGGAATAGAAGAAACACGACTAAAAATGGTTAGACCACGGCGCAAGACTTTAAAATCCTGTTTGAGTAAGCCTGGAAAATAACAGAAGAACAGTATAGTAAGATGGGGAAAACACTGATAAACAAAGGTCATGTTATGCAGCCCAAACCAAACAAGAAGTTTAGGATTGTAACTGGCATGTTTCCACCATAACGCGTGGGTCCTTCTGTGACCCTTGTCACTCTCTCCATGAATTTAGAAAACGGCCTCCCCAGTCAACGGTGACTGCGTTCCCCTGGTGCAATTAAACTATTCCGCGAATTCTCTACGTTTCGATCAATCCGATTTCTTCAACGCCACCCCATGGAGATACTTGTATGGGTAAAAGGAAAGACGAGACAACACTCGTTATATGGTTGAATAACTATGCGAGAGCTCCCGAGCTCATTTGCGAATGGTGAGCTGGGGCTTTGAGGTTAACATACAATAAACTAACACACAAAAAGTATCCAACAGTGTACGGTGAAACAAACATACCTATTGTTATTATCGTTGTAGCGTTGGTAATATGCTTGCACGCAAGCCACCGATCAACATATATATCATCACGAGCAAAACCCGGTGGCAGAGAATTCGACAGCACTCGCAAAGGGTAGAACATGTTCACTCCAGACTTACCCATAATGGAGATGAGATACGAGCACATATTTGCAGGAATACCATTTTGAACAGCGAAGTCGGTCACATAGATAAGTGGCACATAGGTTCCTATAATTATACGAAATATTGGTTCAGTTGAGGAAAATGGGTTTCAGCGTAGAGTAAAATGAATGAAGGACAGCAACCACTCGAAAAACGTCAGGGAAATTAACATCATTTTATATTACCCCCCCCCCCAAAAAAAGTATTTAATATTTATCAAGAAGACTTGCGTTTACCTTAAGCTTTCCCACTTGTGATAGAGGACGTGAAAATGTAGGAAGTATTTTTTTAATTGAGGTTAGGTTACGAAAATAAAACTTGATAGGTAATCAGATATTGATCTTTTAATGGTAAATGCGATTCGGCTTGGGGAGGGGTTCTAAATAACTGTTAATCGCTTGTTTTTCTCATGCTTAAAGTTGAGTTTCATAAAAAAACTATCCCAAATGTTGAAAATATAAGGAATACCGCATTTATTAGCCTGAAAGATTCAACCAAGGCGAATCAGTTCACTTAGACTGGGATTTAGATTTTACAGGTTTATGTCAGTTCATACTAAATACTGTGCTGAAGATGGTGTCACATCCATGAAGCTAAATCAGAGGGTATGAAATACTAGTTTAATATGTAATCATGTGTAACAGGTTATAATAACAAAACTTTTTGCTATGTGTAGTGAATGGAAAATAAAAAAGATTTCCTTCTGTGTCAGATTCAAAGCTTGGCCAACATTCAAGCTCACCCAGTTCACATATACCCTGAACCCAATCCAACGAGCGTACGGGCGACTCGCGTAACGCCTCAGTAGCCAAGTGGAAGATAACAGCATCTCTTCCTAAGAATGATATTGATATGGGGTTAAAAAATCACTTCAGGTCTATTGAAGGGTCCTATCAACAAGAAATCCATTCATGTGATTATATTCACCCTGACCTCCATAAATTTATAAGTCAGTCAGTGTTCTACGAGTAAAACCGTAACAATTCGGTTGATTCATTGCCACATTATTTCGGATTAAGAATTCCATACACAAAAACCATTAGTCACAGTACTGAGTGATCAATAGTATCAGTGGTTTGGCTTATTCCAATGTACTATACTTATCTTTGGTCTTATATATACTTCCTTTTATTGAATGTATATGATACAATTTTCAAGAGGGGGAAGCGATCAAGCAGAGGGTTGACACAACACAGAGTTGGAATGTCTGGAGGTTTTGGTGAGATACGGAGGGATAATTTGCTGAGTCCTCCCACTCGGCCACCAACGCCGTGTATTGTTCAATGAGACACATATAAGCACTTGCAGTGAAATGAACCGACTTTGTTGCTTTCTATCCCGCTGGATTGCGGTTTGTCTCTAATTCCGATCGCAGACGTGAGAGTGATCAGAATATACCAAGTTGAGGCCAGGATTTCGGAAACCATGGTACCGCACATAGCACTTTTGGCGAAAGATAGCAAAAGGGTTCAGAACTATGTTGGGTAGTATTAATATCTATTTACCGGCCATTGCAAAGTTGAATTTCCTTGCTAGAATTATTGCAACAATTTCAATGTGAGATAAATATAACGAAAACAGAAAGCTTACAGTTGTTACAAAATGATACGTAACAAAGCCATGAAAAGGGTTCACATAAAATTTCACTATGGAAACCAATTTGTTGTTTACAAAGAGAGTAAGTGTCAATGAACATACCCAACAAACTGTATCATTTGCAATAATTTGAAAAAAATCTGTGACAAAACCTTACCTAAGATAGCGAAGAAGTTAGCGATGAATGCCAAACGATAACCCTTATTCCGTATGAGTTGCAGATCCGTCATATTCTTAAGTATATCCATGAAAGATTTATTGACACATAAACCGCGGTGACATTTAGTCTGGCGCGTAACCGTGTTACTGGCTGTTTCAGAAACAACATCACCTGCCGCATCGAACTTGTTCGAGTATCCTGAGGATTCTCGTTCATCCTTTTTAAATTGTTTGACATCCGATTTTGACCAGGACCGTCCAAGAGGGAAACGGCAGTCGCGTAATCGGCGAATACATGTGAGACAACAGTCACAGATAGATATTGGCTGCACTGAACCCGCATCGTCAATTACGTTCTCCGGATTACCACAACAAAGCCGAAATAGCCCACAGCAATCGTTCCAATTGCATGGGTTTCGGATACCTGGATGCTCAGTGTAGTCCACTGGACCTACAGGAATGCGAGTCAACGAGATCAGGTAGGATTCGTACCAATTTGGTTGTGAGTTCCACAATGTCGTCTCTGGATCAACAGACAAAGGGACGCGAGCTGCAGCATCTTGACGCGTTACAGACATGCGTCGAGACATATTATCAGGTCGTAAACTGAAAGCTGAGGCAAAGAGTTCGGGTAAACGTGATTGTGAACCAACTCCCCGTGGGCGTTTTTGCATTGTAGGGGTACAGGTTGCCATTGCCAGTGCAGGGTCAACATTCCCACTGAAAATTCAATAGAAATTAAGTAGTTTTCTAGGAGTGCTAAAAAACCGATGCCTAAGCAGACGAAGCTGACGAACATTTGAAAAAATTCAGCTATGATCTACAAATACAAATTCAAATGTATTTCAATTTTCGCTGGAAGATAGGAATCTTGCAATCTTGCACAGTGGCCAGGCTCATGGTTTGCATGAAATTTAAAATATACGATCAATTTTGCTTTTCCAACAAACTCCTCAATCCCATTTAACTTGCACCCATGTATTTCTTCGCAATTCGCAACACCTTCAAGGGGATGGTGGCTGAAGATTATCAATGGATTATAACGCTCACAAGCTGCAAAAGTACAAAACAAAATAAATAAAACGAACATATATGTCCCTATCCTCTTTTCCAACACTTAGCTTGTTATGATATTAGTCCAGTGCCAGCTTCTGCACACGACTCAAACACAATATGCCAGAAATGGCTAAATTGAGTGCTTCCTTCCAAGTAGGACTGACACAGATAAGTTTACGTTGTGCGTATAATATGGCAGCATTTGACTGCATACACAAACACATTCAACATGTGACCAGTCGTAGGCTAATGTAAAAGAAAACTTGCAATGGTCACGTTAGAGAAACAAGAGGAATATAAGTATTTGATTTCCCAGTAATATATATATATTTATATATATGTACCTGTAAAATATGTCACTCCGGTACATTGGTCGACTGTAATCTCGAATAGATACATCTGGATGCGGTAACACTACCACAGCCGGTTTATCATCCATTCTGACCAACTCAATCTTTAGTGCTGAAGTCGTGAGTCCACTGAAAGCGGACTGATGCAGTGCGCCGGAGATGATTGAAGGAGAACCTCGTAATTGATGACGTCGGACGAACTCTTTGGTTATGCCAGCAACCGTGATAGACGAACTGTAATCACGCGCACTATCTGCCACACCCAAGGTGTGATCCGCGGTAGCCTGGTCGGTCGCGTTCGTTGAAACATGCTCCAGAACATGGCCTTCTTCAATGGTGGGAATTCCGGAGAGATTTTTGCGTAAACGCGAAGAGAAACTTTGCGCATTCGGACTGATGGGATTGTTGCCAGGGCTTGATTGTTGCTGTAAACGATAGCGGTTTCTTGAAGATATGTTTCTAACTGGGTGACGCAGTCGGTTACCTTGATGACCAATCGGTGATCTTAGAACGATACCGGAATTTCGATCTGCGTAACCATAGAAGCCCCCTAAACAAGGTGTTGACAAGATGCACGAAACATGAGACGAGCTCCCGAATGGCACAATTTTTGTTTCAAGACCAGTTTGATTTTTGATCAAAGGGGCATCGATCAATCCGCTTGTTTCTGTCAAAGTAATGCTTAGTCCAGCTGGTCTGTTTTTTTCTTTTGACTGTTGGTTCTCAGAGTTTGATTGACACCGATCAGAAGCTTGATTTTCCAAATTCAATGAGGTTTCCGTTTCAGTCTGAAAATAAAAGAAAATAAAGGAATAATGAGACTTAAGAACCGTTCTTAATGGCAAGAAGGAATAGAAGCTTTGGCCGGGGTTAAGGGTCGCAAAGATCGAGTTTAAATCCCATTTGGGATTGGACAATCATGGGTTCAGACTAATGAGTAAGACAAACAGTGACTCTCTTTTTTACTGTGTTTTACACAAGGATATTTAACTCGAATTATGCAGCTACATCTCACTAATGCTCTCAGTTTTCCATTTAGTATTGTCTGGCTAGTCATTAATCAATCAAGCGGGTAACCAAAAGGCGACAATAGAAATCAGAGCGTGTAAGAGCATGAATATTGACCGTGCAAACTGAAACTGAAGTAGAATGACATATCCATAAATTAAGTTCATCTTACCGCAGAAAAATGTAGATTTTGGTTAGCAGGCGCATGCCCTGATCGGGGTAAATATGGGTAGCAGGACTAAGGACTCACCTTTTTTGACCGACGGGGGTCAAGACCATCGGTTCTGTGTAGCTTTGACTATCGAAGGACCTAGCAATCAACACCGAGCAATACCAATAACGCAGAGCCAGAAATCCCGTTACACCTCGTGATTCACCTTGATGTCTTCAGAATGACTCACGCATGAGGCATGCATCATGGAAATTTGGTCATATTAGTATTGTGCGCGACAACTAAAGCATCAATCTAATCATTCGGTTCTCCGGGGTAACTTTACGGCGGATTTCCTTGAAAATACACGAAACAATGGTTACATCTACAATTACAATAGCAACGCTGAAACAGTACGGTGAAGCTAATACAGATTAATCCGATCTTGACTTGCATAAACAACTGTTGAAAACAAAATTAAAATTAGTAGGAGGTATTACGTTTTCAAAGGCCTCGCAAATTCAAACTGAAGCAAACGATAGAGCAAAGTAACACAAAATGACACCACAGGGACGGGTTTTTCCTTCGAACAATGAGAGCTTGTCTATGTAAGGTTCATCTACAAAAATAATTCTTAAAGACCTTAAAGCATATGGCTCGAAAAACGTTACCTTTTGGGTATCTTCCTCTTTGTCCACCAAAAGAGGTTGCTCTATTTTTTCGTTACATATATCCTCTTGCTCTTCAATATATACTGTCTGCTCGTTGTGCTCCTCATCGCTGACACAGGCAGGTACAACAATTGGAGCAGACAGAGCGGATTTATTCGAATCGGTTCTAATAAGATTGACTGGACTCGTAGTCTGGGGGAAGGCCAAACTTCTGCTTCCACGGTTTGATTCACATTCGTCTTCACTCTGATGTAGATCGCTAGACATCCTGTGAGCCGAAATGGAAGAAATGGTTATCAGTTTTTTCGGTGCTCCAAAGCAATCGTTTGAGTGAGTGAAACTGATTGGGTATTCAATAGAATGCTCTAGCGTTTCCTAAAAATATCCGTAAGAGTTATTTGAGCAGTCTTCCGGAGATGGTACTGATCATCAGTGGGCTGGAAATTACTTGAAGTGACGTTTGGACAGCAGAATAGAAATGCCCTTCTGTTCACCAGTTTAATCATTTCATTTAAATCATAGTGCGTTCGACGTGACCAAGAAATAATTCTCACATATCCTGAGTGTCTAAATCATTGCGACTAGTTTATTCTTCCTCTTGCATTTGTAATTTTTCTTCTTTGGTTTCCCTTGCATATGATGACTTGTGCCGTCACCTACCTATATCGTTTACCTTGAAAACACATCTCGTGATTTGACCGACGGTTTTTAGCACATAACGTTCTCAAATTTGAACAACACACCATGTTTTTTAAACTTTCGTGCATTAGTCGATTTTTTTTGTTTAGGAAATCAGTTGATTCCTTGATTCTCAACATGGTTTGTACATGAGAAAGAAAGGAAAAATGTTGTTTAAACATCATCGATCTCAAACATAACACATGCATGTAAATAAATAGTACAAAGTTGGAAAAACAATGGATTCTATTGCGATTCCTTGATATTCGTTTGTGATGGAAAATCTTTTTGAGAAAAAGGATGCCCCGTCTGCTACCGTAGCAGACAAACGTGCTGGTGCACCAAGCCCGGCATTTTACCACTGCTAATCTGGCACATTAGTATGCATGTATCTGACTAAAGTTCATTCTTCATTTTTTTTAATTTACGTGATCTGAGAGGAGCAGGATTTTGTCGTCCAATTCTTAACGAATAACAAGCATTTTTCTCTTTAACCCTTCGCAATATATGATTTAATCTTAAAGTTCAGTTAACTGAATTACCCACCGGATTGATATTTATCAAACATACTCTCCAAAAATAGTTCTGCCTCACTTTATCGTTGAAACCTCAAAATTTATGGTACGCATTGTATGAATGAAGTTTTACCACGCAAGCTGAAAGAATGCTATATTTGATCACTGTGAAATCCGAAAACTACGCGTCAAATGTGTCCCGATATTACCCTGCAGAAATCTAAAGTTGACCAGTTAGTGAATGGTGAGGAGTTTCAGCCTCGAAATATTTACGCAGATGGAAACACAATGAATACATAAGGTGATAGACAAATAGAAGTTTAATTGGGATCCGTATAAAACTTCAGCTGCAAGAGGGCAGAAGAAACGTTTCCGGATGCACTGTTTTATTCGCTACACAAAAATAATAATTACATTTTCTCATAGCATTCTTCATCAGCATCCATGCCTGATTCCATGCGATCAAACACAGTGGTGAATCAACTCAACTATGTTGAATCAGGTAACCCTTCCATCAGTTCGATGAAAGTCTCCACAGCTGCTATTGGTGGCTCTTATCTGATTCCACGCATCATGCGCTTGACAGTTGGGAACACAAAGAGGCACATGGAGCCAGGTCTGAACTATAGGGTGGGTGACCAACCACCTGATGCGTTCTCTAGCCAAAAAAGCGTCGACGAGATGGAACCAGTGTAGAGGAGCCTTGTCATAGTATAGAAAGGTAACTCGTGAAAGATTCCTTGGGTGACGCTTGGTGACAAAATGCAGGTAATTCGGCAAACAGTGGATGGCGTATCACTCTGGTGGCTGCGCTTAGTTATACGAGCTGTACACTAGCCACATGACCAGTTTTGCCCATTAAAACAGCCACCATATGCTTTGTCACACTGCGCTCGCGTCGGAAGTTCTGAGGCAACGCCTCACCAACCGGCGTCCACTGAGCCGATTGTTGCTTATTTTCAGGGTCGAAACTGAACACCCAGGTCTCATCACGATTGATGATCTCCAAACTGTATTGTACCGTCCACCCCTTAGCAAGCATGGTGCGGATCCATTACAGCCGAACTGTTTTTTCCTCATTGAGCTGATGGGGTACCCAGGTTCGGTTTCAGTTTTTACAAACATTACCATGCACTTTTGTGCACCGGTTTTGGTTGCTGCCTTTTGGACTCCTATTTGGACAAATGAGTAGAATGAACATTGCTATATTCAGAGCGGAGTCAAAGGGAAGATAGAGAGACATACATTGCGGTTGCAAGAATATTGAGTAGATGTACAAGCGCCACTGTTTGCGACATCCAGCCATATCGCTCAGCGTCTTTAACCACCGGTTACTATTATCTCGGGGTCCCCATCTAGGAAGCCTAATGGAACCTATGTGACATGTGTGTCCTGGTTAGGTTTTTCATACCCTCATACCAGGTCTTAGTTCGAACAAATCGACTGTCTGCCTCGGTAAACATCGCTGTCGGTGGCAACCTGTTTGATAACATGCGCAGCACATCTTCCAACTAGCCTAATCTATAGAATTCGATCACTTGCTCCAGCGGACGACCGCGATTAAGTGAAACTCTTCGCCTAACCCCAGCATTGCTCGTCCGGTTTCCTCACCAGACTGGTGCAATGCCACGTAGACAGCGGTGTTCAAACATCGACAATCTATTTTTATCCTGTTCCCGTAATGGCCAACTTTCTGCACCTCATAGTAACATTGGCCGAGCTGCTGCAGCATATACTCGACTCTTCACAGACGGCCTGATGTGGCGACGGCGCCACAGATGTCTCAAGTTGGAAAGGCCAACCGAGCCTACTGTATGCGTGCCGACACTTCATTTGTGATGCATCTACCAGGTGAGGTATAGCAGTCCATAGTCAAATTTATCTACCCCCCCCCTATTACTTCCCCGGTCAGGGTGAGGTTGGGGGCTGGATCAACCCAGTCTTGTAGCAAGATATTACACTTCGAAGATGCAAAACGGATACCAAACATAGATATACTAAGGCTATCCAGAAAAGTTTGCAACTCAGAGATGGGGTACCCAGTGTGGGTGAACCATTTTGGGGTCGATCTTCTCATATATAATGGTGCAGATTGATCCCGATGGCTTTTGCCAACTGTGCTACTGTCACCCGCGCATCTTCACTTACATAGCAGCAATGTTGTCCGTTGTGGTGGCCTTCGTAAGTCGAGTACACCGTCTCTCATCATTCGGGACCGCCTGCCACGCTTGAATTCCACAAACCCCATAAAACAATGGCGCTTATTGCAGCCGCGTCAACACCAAAGGCAGCTCGCAAACGATCAACACTCTGCTGCTGTTTTCAACCAGATTTTATGTCGCTGAAAATCATCGCCCTCTAGTGGCATCGAATTATTTCCATCCTTACAGTTCGAGTAAAGCGGTCCTTATATCTTGTGACCTGTGCTCGACTATTCGGCTCCTTGAGTTGCAAACACTGAAAAATATTCAGAATAAGGTGCAGTTCACTTTTTCCTTGTCCGGTTTTCAATACCTCGTCAGTATACTGCGTAACCGGAAGCTGTCTGATCAGCCCTCGTAATACGACTAAACACTTCAAATGAACTTTCAGACTGAGCCAAACACCAGTGAACGTTGACGTTTGGTTATAACAGCATTAAATAAGTTAAACATGGAGAGATTATATGAAGTTCCATCGTGTTTGAATTACGGCATGAGCACAAAAATGTAGTAAAATATTCAGGTATGTGCGTAACGAAGCGAATCGCAATATTCTGGCGTTAGCTATTAAATTTATATCGTACGTACACCTGGACTCAATAATATAAAACAAAATAGTCAAAGGTTTCAAAGTTCTCAAAAGAAACTCTACTTACTGCATTTTCTTTTCATTGGATTTTATTGGCTGAATGGAATTGGCATCATGCGCCTCTTTATCAGAGAATCCTGTAATCTCGTTACGCGATAAGGCCTTCGTCTCCATTGGTTCGTCCACTTCTACCAATGGCTGAGAGATCCGACCGTTAGATGCAAATGCAGCTGCGGATCGAATGTAACCATTTGAAGTAAAAAAGCAGGAATTTAGTTCCTCAGCTATCAGATCATCTAATCCTTCGGGAACGGACTGCGTGTTTACGCCACACAATTTGACGACAGGTAAAAGTGGCCGATAGAGACAAGCGAGAGCAACGCAATGCAGCAGAAGGCCCGCAAAAATAATGAATGTATTTGACCAGTGGTAGACCTGCAGAATAACAGAAGCAGAAACAATGTGGTAACTTACAACTTTCTCTTCAATGTCAGTTCCTTTTGATAACGATCAGTGGATGAATCCCGTTTTTATAAGAGTTCTTGAGCATCAGTAGGATACAAATCAGTACTAAAATTTGCCGGCAATAAAGATTTGGTCAATTCACTTGAATTGATTTTTCAAAATGGATCGCTGGACTGCTTTCACACATACAAACTATGTCATAGGTTAGACTAGCATAGGTTTTATATGCTTCTATACTCTTCATTCTTTGGTTGCGAACGAGTTATTCTAATTCTTGTATAAATGGCGAAGTGCTTCACATTAATCAGCAGTATGATATTATCATTAACCACTTCTTTCTCTCTTTGTATATATATATATATATATATCATTATCATCATCCTTATTGTTGTATAGCATAATACAGTGAAGCGAATTTCACTGATCACTGCCAAACTTATGATGCATGCAAGGTAAGTGAGAATGCGTAAGAAGAACAGGGGTTAGACCTATTTTTAGCGGCGGG